ATTTGGTAGTATGCTGAATAAGTCCAATGACATAAGATTGGAATGAGTCCACTGAAAGTTGTGACAACCTGCAAATTATTATAGAACTATGTTTAGTTTGCGGTCTCATTCTCGCCTACGCAAAATTGTGTAAAGAGCGAGAGCATCAGATATACGTTTGTAAATTACTATTTTAGCCTGGCTTCCATGCCTAGTTATTGTTCCGAGGGTTCAATACTCGGCCTTATGTTCTTTTGTTTTTTTTCTATTTTATCTTTTGTTCTATTTTACTTTTTCTATTTTTTCTTTATACTAAAAAAATATAGAACAAAGGTCGGTCATCCAGGTACTGACAACTAATGTCAAAAAAACGATCTTAATTACCGTGGAATAAGAACGATTTTTGATATACTAGTTTTCTGTCAAAAACGGGGATTGATCCAGTGATTTTTGTTTAAAATTCGTTATTTATTTCGGCCATAAGGGACTACACATTAGACAGAGACCAGGCAGCAGCGCTTTCTGATAAACCTGAACCTTTTATACTGCGATCTCCGACCCGCCTGCCTGCGGAGATTATGACAAACCCCTCTTATGTAGAGGAGGCTCATAGTGCAGCAGTGGATTGTCAGGGACTGGTGATGATGAAAAGTAGCCTATCATATATAGCCCAGAAAAATAAGCTTTCCAACAGTGATAGAATTTTCAAAATCGGTCCAATAGTTTCGTAATATATTCAATGCAAACAGACAAAAATAACGTATTTTTTTTTATAATATTGTTATAGATATTTTGTTTTGAGCGTACAAAAAGTAGTTTTGTGACGTCAGTAATTTGTAATCTGTGTAATCTTTTATGTATATCGCTGACAGACGGACGGAAAAAAAAGAAATAGAAAACTACTTAAAAAATTATTGTGACCATAAAAATGGAATTAAAACATTATTTTATTATGTAGGTCTTGTAGGTATATGTAAAAACAAATGCGTTTTTGTTTTTTTATTCAGTTGCATGTTTTTTTTAACATCGAATGGCTGCTCCCGCCTGGGTGAGGTGGGAGGGAGTGTCAGACTCTTACTGATTAAAAACCACCCCGTTTCTTCTCCTGCACGTCGAGCCGGAGCCTCAGTTACCCGTTAGGTTCTCCGCGACATTCAGTTACGTGTACGTACCTACCGCTAGATATGATAAAATAATAAATCGTTTTTAACGGTTTATTATTTTATCTTACCTTTTTTGTTGTCAAATAGACATATTAAAAAAGGCTATTTTGTACGTATGTATGTAATTTCGAGTTACGTGTTTTTTTTTTGGTTGACTGCCTCGTTGTCCAAGTGGTCGCAAGTGCGACTGCCGCTCAAGGGGTCTCAGTTTGGATTCCCGGGTCGGACAAATTATTACTGGGTTTTTTTAAATTCTCAATGGTAGTACGGAGTCTGGAATTGTGCTCGGTATATGACAATAGGTTCACACCCTATTACATGGGACTCGTAACATAAATAGTGAAAAAAATGGGTGGTACATTGTACAATGGCATGAAGTGCCGTAATGTGCACCTCTGCCTACTCCTTCGGGCATAAAAGGCGTGATGTTATGTTATTTCATGTTTGGTTTTCTTTGTGTTTTTGAAAAATTTGTAGCTCAAAGCGGGTTTCCTCTGATTTAAAAAGAACAATTCAAAGAAAAATAATTGAGTAGGTAATTTAAGATGGTCATTTAGATGTAGGTATTATTTTTTTGATAAATAAAGAACATATATAACATATTGCTGAGCATCAATTTTTGAAAATGATAATTTTAATTATTGACATTTTGATAACAAAACCGGTGATGCTAAATAGATAGATAAGAAAAAATATATCAAATGCGGATATTTTTAAAATTCATTTATAACAATATAATGAATTAATTTAAATTACTGCAATATAAATATAGCTCAGTAATTTGATAGTTGTACCTGGAATATTTAACAAAGAGTTTTGAAAATTCAAGGTATTGCAAAAAAAACTGATTTTGGACGCCATTTTTCCAAGATGGCGGCGCGAGCGGCACACGTAGAAAGGTGTAAAATGGTAATCAAAAAGAGCGCATCAAAATATACAAAAATGCCGATTTTAAAATCTCCCGGAATACTTTCCAGGTGAACCGATACTGCTTTTCTCACGATCTCCCGCCATCTCTCCCTGTTTGTGGATTGTCTGGCAGTCTGACATTGGGTTTCCCATTGCCTATTTGACTTGACCAATCCAGCGCATAGGTGATCTGCTCCGTGAATCGTAATCGCAAGCACACGTCGCGGAGAACCTAACGGGTTATCGGGGCTCCGGCTCGAAGTGCAGAAGACTCTAGTCAGTAACACTCCCTCCCGCCTCATCCAGGCGGGAGCAGGCATTTGATAATTTCCCCCCTTAAAAAAAAGATAATAGCGCACAAACATACATAAAGGTCAAATCTGAACCTCATCTTTTCGAAGTCGGTTAAAAACCAAATCAACAAACGCGACCAAAGTCGTAAGCAATATCTAGTCAAATTTTATGTAGGCATCGTTCGACATATCAGTACGTGCGTCAGAACTAGAGCTATAACTTTTAATTACACGTCTTAATAAAACCACTACTGCCAATTGTAAAGTTTTTGCAAATAAATAGGCCCATGATTTCCCATACGCTTTTTAAGAGGCAGGTTTTTGTCAATTATATTATAAAAACCTATTTTTTTATTTTTTTGGAATACAAACACGTGTCAAATTGATATGACGTCTTTTAACGTTAGGAGCAAGACTCAAGGACTCAAGATTTTTATGCAGGGATTTTTTTTTTGTGAGGGGGGAAAATCATCGAATGACTGCTCCCGCCTGGGTGAGGCGGGAGGGAGTGTCAGACTCTTACTGACTAAAAACCACCCCGTTCCTTCTCCTGCACGTCGAGTCGAGTCGAATATCCCTTAGAGACTAATTTTTGTCAGAAGTCATTATTATACGCGGACGAAGTCACAGGGAACAACTAGTCTGCAATAACGCAAAAATAAATTGAGTATTTAAGTTTTTGTTCATATAAAACTGTTTATATATTTATATGATTGCCTCTTAAATATGTAAACCTTGTTTATATCGACTTATACGTATATAATGATACATGCAATTTACTATGAATGAATATACGGTAGTTAGTTCATTTTGAAAAAAATATGCAAATACTCGATAGATATTAATTGAAACCAATCATTCAGTTCATTAAATTGAGTCATAACAATAAATAATACGTAGTTTCCAAATTTGTTTTTAGAAGTTTTTTATTCATTAACATCATTATCGTTTTCTACTCCTCTTAGTTCGAAACTAGTAGAGCTTTTCTCAGTATATTCACGTGAGTAACCCGCGGTTTTTAGTTAATTTATACAGACGACATACGATCGGGTATCGAAAACGGCAATCTAACTTTGCTTACCTTGCTAGATTTTAGCAATGCATTCAACACCGTTGATTTTGATATCTTACTTGGAATACTGGGCTCTCTTAACATATCGCCGGCTGTGATTGATTTCTTTCGTAGTTACCTGTCTGGGCGCCGGCAGCGTATTGCCATTGAAGGTTCATACTCCTCCTGGTCTGATACGGCTGCTGGCGTACCGCAGGGGGGCGTTCTTTCTCCTCTACTCTTTGCTATTTTTATAAATTCTATCTCTGATGAACTTCTTTCTTCCTACCACTTGTATGCTGACGATCTGCAAATTTACTCTCAGGCACCTCCTGGTGAATTCTCCGAGGCGGTCAAAATGGTGAATACCGATTTAGCTCGAATCTCAGAATGGAGCGCAGTTTACGGTTTAAAGGTTAACCCTGCGAAGACCCAGGTCATTGTAGTCGGTAGCCCTCGGTTACGTTGCAAAATTACATGGTCGCAGATTCCACCTATTATTTTTAACGGTACCATAATACCATACAGCGACTCAGTGAAAGATCTAGGCATTACCATAGATCGAGACTTTTCTTGGGGACCGCAACTGGGGCAGGTCAGCCGGAAAATATTTGCGTCAGCCAAGTCTTTACGTAGACTTCGAAACTTTCTACCAACCGCTACCAAAATTGCGCTTGCTCAATCACTTCTCCTTCCCATCCTTGATTATGCCGACGTCAGCTATCCAGATCTTACTGAAGCGCAGTTAGATAAACTTGAACGACTCCAAAATTTCTGTATAAGGTTTATATTTGGCTTACGAAAATATGACCACGTTTCCGAATACCGAGCTAAACTCAAGTGGCTGCCGATCCGCCTTCGCCGGAATACTCATATCCTATCCCTTCTCTACAATATACTGTTTAATCCTACTACCCCCTGTTACCTCAAAGAACGTTTCAAGTTCTACCATGACTCACATTTTAGACCAGTACGGTCGTCGGGAGATCTGAGACTTGAGATGCCCCAGCATGAGAGCAAATCCTACGATAAATCGTTTACAGTTCGAGCTATTCGACTGTGGAATGCACTTCCCCCTTCCATAAAACAAGCAAAGTCACTGGTCACGTTCAAGGCACGCGTGAGGGAGCATTATCTCTCCACACTATAGTTCATTGCTGTTTCTTCACCTAGTGTCACCTATCTGTCATTGTATCTTGTTTCTAAATGTACTTATGTATGTATTAGTATATGTATATATGTATGAATGATGTATGTATGTATGTATGTATGTATGTGTGTATGTATGTATATAATTCTATATTAGAAGTAAATAAATTTGTTTTTTTTTAATGTTTTCACTTTTACATTATATAAATAAGCACCTCAGTACGCCAAGCTATAACTACCTCATTTAATATCCTACTATAGTATTCAATCCACCCAAAGGTTGCCTGGTAGATATCGCTTTTAGCGATAAGGCCGCCTTTGTACCCTATTTTCTTTATTTGTTCCTAGATATACTGTCTCAAATTGGTGTACAATAAAGATTATTATTATTATTATTATTAATTTAGTATGTCTCATGATAGTTATTATAAAAAACTATTTTTCCCCTCTTTCCAGATTCACCACACATGTAGCGGAGACCAGATCACAACTCTACCAAGATGACGCGATTAACAGTTACCCAGACAGCCCGAAACCATTTGTTCGGGCTGGCGCCGAACCCGGACCGTCGAGTACCTATCAGTATGCTAATATCACAGCAGAAGAAATTGGGATTTGGTATGTACAATTTTTTTTATTCTTTTTTATTGTTTTAAACGACAATAATATGTTTATGTGTCTGTGAGAATTTGCAGAAAAATACGCATTTCGGAAAATTCGGAAATATCGTAAAAATCGGATTCGGAAAATTCCGTCTCAGATATTTTATTGTGGGCTTGAGATCGATTATTTTAGCTGTGAAAATTTTTTAGTGTATAGTTTTATTTTTAAACTGTATATTAACGTATAGATATAAGAACTTCTGCTTATCCTTTAACTAAGAAGCGTGATGCTACATTATGTCATTGATCGTGACATAAAAATTAAATTCGAATATAATGGAAAATTTCAACCACGTCATAATATGACTAAACCCATGTTAAGCAACGTGAACTGCGGTTAAATATAAGATGGGTGACCTTGCAATATTTCCGAAAACTACCTTCGAGGTTATTATATTTAAATTACACTTGCAAAGTAATCTGGGAAAGTTGTTAAGCGTCGGTTAGCGAGGTTAGGATTTTGATAGGTGACCATTTTTGAATGATTGTTTAATAATAGTAAAATATGGTTCAATTTTGAACCGTATGATCATCGCAGGGTAGAAGACACTTGTCACTACCTTTTTTGGGGGGAGGAACCTTCAAAACCCTAGGAGGCGCCTAGTCTTCCTCTGGAGAAAGACTAGGGACTGTGGGATTTCTACCTCACCTAAACCTCCTCGGTAGACACCATCCACACCTCAAGGAGGCACCGAGTCCTCTTAGTAGACCGCCACCTTGCCACCACCCTTACTGTTATTGAGGGTGTCATCTATGGGACTATACAATAGATAGAGACCTAATTACAGCACTATCAGATAAACCTAAACCCTTTTAATTACGATCTCTAACCAGTTTACCAAGCTTGGAGATTATGGTAAACTCTTCGATGTAGAGAAGGTCCAACGTCTAGCAGTAATCAACAGGAAACCACGGTTATTTCTGTTTTTATCTCCGTCTATCCCTTCAGGGATTATAAGGCGAGACCTCAAATACTGCCGCGTTGCTACTGCTGCGCGTTCGATTGGCGATTGGTAGTAACAGGTCGGGCAAAGTAAAAGTGGATTTAAAAAAAATCTCAGTAGTAGCACGGAGTCTGGAATTGTGCCCGGTATATAGAAATAGGCTCACCCCCTATTACATAGGACTCGTAACATAAATGGTGAAAAGTGGGTGTTATAATTGTACAGTGGCATTAAGTGCCGTAATGTGCACCTCTGTCTACCACTTCGGGGATAAAAGGTGTGATGTTATGACGCTACCTCAAAGGCGGATAAACCTAGAGAGCTAAAAATCCTAAGATTTTGAGGATTGTTGGGGATTCGGGGATTGGAGAGATGGAGGGGTTCCGGTAACCTAACTCACGCGACGAAACACAACACAAGCATTGTTTCACGTCGGTTTTCTGCTCGACTGCGGTATCACTACGGTCGAGCCGACCCATTTGTGCCGAAGCATGACTCTTGCACACTTTAACTGTTAACACCAAGCGGTCACCGGTGACCGCAACCTATTGTTCTATAATTGTGTCTATAATGACGGTACTCGACGAGTTAAACTGTCAAACACCAAGCGGACACCGGTGACCGCAACCTATTGTTCTATAATTGTGTCTATAATGACGGTACTCGACGAGTTAAAACGTACGTACGAGTGTAATAGGCTTTCTGCTCACCCTTTATCCAAACAAATATCACTATAAGCCCGCTCTAAAACTCCAGTGGAACGAAATTTTAGCATCGTATACGATTTGTGCAATTTTTACTTACAACACATTTTCATCCGATTTTCGCAATACAACCGACTCACTGTGCAAGTCATAAGAAATTGGACACTCAAGAATTCACGTTTATCATTCATATTTTTATATGTTTGCAAATTAATTTTTATTGCAATGGTATTAGTACTGACTGCCTCGTTGGGCGAGTGGTTGTAAGTGCGACTGCTGGGCAAGGGGGTTCGATTCCGTCGGGCAAAGTATTACTGGGTTTTTAAAAATTCTCAGTAATAGCACGGAATCTGCAAGTGTACCCGGTATATGGCAATAGTCTTACCTCCTATTACAAGAGATTCTTAACATAAATAGTGAAAAGTGGGTGTTACATTGTACAGTGGCATAATGTGCACCTCTGCCTACCCCTTCGGGGATAAAAGGGGTGATGTTATATTATGTTATAAGTCGGAAAAAGTTACATTGGTAGTTGCCACTGTACAACAATAACGCACCCACGACTCAGGAGAAAAAACTAGTATGGGGCAACGTTTTTAAAAAAAAATGAAGTCGCTGCCTGAAGCTTATGACTTGAAACCATACAGAAATTGTAATGTACGCCACTTATAGTCAGTTTCGCTATAATGACTTCTTGAATTAGTATGCATTTGCTTGCCGCGGTTTTAACGCTTTAAATACTATAATAATAATCGGGCACGAGGCCTTAGGTTCGATTCTTGGGTCGTGCGAGTGTTATTGAGGGATTTTCCGTTTAGGCATTTTTTTAGGTGTATATGTTTACCTTTTCCGATGAATTTGGGTTATTTTGTGATTTAATATGTGTTTATTAGGGTTTTTATGGGATAAGCCGGTAAACGAGCAGACGGATCACCTGATGGTAAGCAATCGGCGTCGCCCATGGACATCTGGAATACTAGAGGCGTTACAAGTGCGTTACCGGCCTTTTAGGGATTAGGTATTTGAGGATTGTTGGGGATTCTGGGAATGGGGAGGAATCTGGGAAGGGGGAGGGGGGTAATTGGGCCTCCGGTATCCTCACTCACACGACGACACACAACGCAAGCATTGCTTCACGTCGGTTTTCTGCTCAGCTGTGGTATCACTCTGGTCGAGCCAGCCCATTCGTGCTGAAGCATGGTTCTCCCATACTTAAGTAGGTTTATTTATTTATCATCACCAGTCCCTGACAGTCCACTGCTGCACTATGAGCCTCGTCTACATAAGAGGGGTTAGTCATAATCTTCGCAGGCAGGCGGGTTGGAGATCGTAGTATAAAAGGTTTAGGTTTATCAGAGAGCGCTGCTGCCCGGTCTCTGTCTAATGTGTAGTCTCTTAGTCGGGTATATGACACCCGCGGGAAGAGTAGCGGTGGTGACACATGTATTTTACTCCCTGTCACCACATGGCTTCTGGTAAGAGTCTCATTTCATTGTGGGTGAAATATCTTACTAATATTATAAATAGAATTTTGTAAATGCGTTTGTGTATATTTATTACTTAACCAAGTCAAAACGGCTGAAGCGATTGGGATGAAATTTGGAACAGGTATAGATTACAGTCTGGAATAACATATAGGCTACTTTATATCGCACAGGAACGCGGGCGAAGTCGATGACAGAAGCTAATATCTACATAGTATATTTTCTTTAAACATACCTACTTCTCTGCTTACCCTGATTAAAGAGAGTGTAAAGATTAGCTTGTAAGATAGATGTTAACATCATGACGTTTCTAATTGTGGTGTATGCAGGGAAAGTGCAATTATGATTGTTAATATGTATTAGAATGAATGTGGTTAAATTACCTCGTTAGTATAGTGGTCGCAAGTAGAGTTAAAGGTTTCAGGTTTGACACCCGGGTTAATCAAAATTTCTCAGGGATATTGTAAGTCCCCTCTCGTCTCCTCCTTCTGCGGAGCAGTCATGCTAGCTAAGGAGGAGGTGAGGCGCGTGAGGGAACGAACCACCTCAGGCCCCAGCCGTCGCGAAAAATACATCGAGCTTCGGAAATCGCACGGCGATCTATCGCCACCTTAAATGCGGGTATGCAGATGGCGAGTAAGAGTAGTTCAAAGTCAAAGTCAAAGCATTTATTTCAATTAAACTATAGTTGGTACCTTTGAAACTCAACAAATCAATACATAGTATAAAACAAAGTCGCTTTCGCTGTATGTCCGTATGTATGCTTAGATCTTTAAAACTACGCAACGGATTTTGATGCGGTTTTTTTTAATAGATAGAGTGATTCTTAAGGAAGGTTTGTATGTATATACATATTGCATCCGTGCGAAGCCGGGGCGGGTCGCTAGTACAAAATAAATAATAGTCTGTCAGTCAGTCCGTCAGTGAAATTAGGTGAAGCTACGTGCTCATTCCAAAACGTAGATTCGAATGGAGAAGAACAAGAAAGAAACTCCAGTCGTTACTCTTTTTAAAAAAAAATAAGTTCTACAATGTCTCCGATACATATTTCAATACTGTACGCATATGTAAGAACAATGCAAAGACACGCTTGACGCATTATACTAATAACTTACTGAAATAAAAAAAAATAAAAATCTTAAGTCTAACATGGTGCTCACATATGCATACTGACAATCCATAGAAATAGTGCTTCTATACAAGAAAAAGGAAACTCTTTGTTTCAACTCTTTGTTCGCCACCCGACCAGAACCAGATCCATATGTACGATGCATCGTGTTCCGTACGCGCCTCAAAGAGTCTCCAGCCCACCATAGATGGAACCCAGTAGGACTGATGCCCGATACGGAGCCGCGAACGACTTAAAAGGTTATATGTGCAGGAATAGGAACGGAGTGTTGGGCCTCCGTTAATCTCATTCACACGACGAAACACAACGCAAGCGTTGTTTCACGTCGGTTTTCTGCTCGGCCGTGGTATCACTCCGGTCGAGCCTACTCGAGCCGAAGCATGGCTCTCCCACACTCAAACGTGGCACTACTATAATTTTTTTGCAAATTTCAAAGTCATATAACACTCATATAATCATTAATTATATCAATACGTATAATTTAAACGGTTATGCCATTTCAAATAGGTAACGACTAACTCACATAAAGGTCAATTATTTGTAATAACCTTAACTATAAGTTCAAAGTTAACTGTTTAGTCAATGAGGACAGTTAGTTAAACTAGACTACCTCGGTTTAGTTATCCGACTATACTACATACTAAACAAAGTCGCTTTTTCTGTCTATTTGTTTTTATGGCTGACTGCCTCGTTGG